ATTATTTCTTAATTAGAATTTCTTTATTCTCTTAGTTATTTTTAAATATATTTGTATTTACGGTTATATAGAAGTCTTTATATGGGACTCGGCGATAAGGCAAAATACGTTTTTTTTGGTAATGCAATATAAACATTCTTCAACTGCAAAATAAACTACAAAAAAGATTAAAAAAATAAAAAGGATCGATACAATCTTTTTAGATCTTTGTCATATGATCTTTGTTATATGAATCGCTGCATGCAACGAAAATTGTATGACCCCAGGAAAAAAAGTTCTATAGAATTTCTATAACCTTTTCAAACATATAGCCTATAATGTCAATTAATTTTTTTTAAAAATTACAATAAAACTTTTTTTTCTATAGAAAAAAAAGTTCTATAGAATTTTTATAGAAATTAAGAGAGATTCTATAGAAATTCTATAGAATTCTATAGAGATTCTATAGGCCGTATGTTTCAAAAGGTTATAGAAGTTTTATAAAACTTTTTTTACCGGGACTACTTTTGATAACACGATCTAATTGGCTTTTGTTTCTGCTTTTATTAGGTTGAACAAAATTCATTTACAAAAAAACGAGGTTTGCATGAACTATAAAATTCTCACGTGGTAAAGTGTGCAGTCACATTACCTGAAAAATAAAAGAAGGTATCGGAGTTTTTGATTTCTCAGAGATTTTGAGATTCTTTAGAGCTGTTAAACAAAAACAAGCAAAAAAGATAGTGGTTGCTTACTCATTTTTGTTAAAAATCTAATATTTGGCATGACTAGCGCTATTAATCCGTGGAGACGGTAAAGAAGAGTTATATTACAATTCTAATCATTTTTATCGTTATTCAGGAAAAATTTTTGTTGAAGTGAATAAAATGGAGAGGAAATTAATATACATTTTACAAGATGCAGGAAAAGATGCTTAAAGTTTTAGCACTAAAAATATACGGGATATTATAACTGAAATTAGCAGAGAAAAGTTCTACGCAATTATTATGGATAAATTGTCTCATGTCTCAAACACTGAAAAAATTGTTTATGTATACGGTGGGTGGATAACAAGTTAAATCCTCATGAATAAATTAATGGAATCCATTCTTAGAGATCGCCGATGCTGGATCCGTTGTAAAAGGGATTAAAGGTGATATGTTACACATAAATGTATCTTTATTAGAATGGCGTATTCAATGTTATGATGGATATTCAACAATGAAGGATCAAGAATCTGAAAATGCAAAGCAGATTGAAGAGATTGAGGAGAAAATATTATTTACGCAATGATTCACATCAACTGCTATAGCAACAAGTGAACTATCCTTTTAAGTATAGTTACGGTGATAAAAAACACTTTTATTTCAGTTATTTGATACGCTGTTTTATGTTAAACTTTATCTGGAATACGCAGTTGTAGCTTTGCAAGAAGAAAGACTGTAAAGCGCAAAAATATCACAATCAGAATTTTGTTTGTTTTTAAAAGCTTACTCACAAACAAAATTCAGACACCAAACTTAGACAGGTTAGACAATTTAGAATAGTTACTTTTTACCCTTCGCAAAGTTTGAATCAAATCAGTAGCTTATACCAATATTTTTCAAGTAAAATCAACAGTTTAGTGACATCACTAAACACTACTTTTTATTTTTCTTTTTAATTATGATATTTAGCCACATACTGACATCACTGTTATTGATAAAAGCAAATACTGCGTTTGTAAACGTATTTTTTAAATGTTTTATTAACGAAATTTAAATTTTTAGTAATTGCCAAATTTATTTAATACGTATGGTATGAAATCGCCATTTTGAAACTATTTTCAATGTTATTTTGTAAAACAACTTTTTTTGTTTTTGTTTTTGTATTTTATATGGCGAGAATTTAGCCAAAGACTATATTTTTTGACAAGGCTTCGAGTAGACATTTAAAGTCTTCTATGCTCTAAAAATATCCGGAATAATAAAAAATTGTAAGCTTTTAAAAAGTATATATTATAAAATAAAAATTATTCATCCAGATGTTTTATCATGCTTCATTATGATTCATCATCATGGTTTATCCAGATGCTTACGCAAAGTCCTTTAGTTAGTAGCTCTTATAATCATTTTTATTATTAAATATATAGAACTGAATTTTTCAAGATCATCTACTGTATCTATTTTAAATGTAGTTTTTATTAAAAAAATTATAAGTAAATAATGAAAAATCTTTATAAATAATTTTTCAAAAAAATATTTCACTTTTTAAAATAAATAATTGGAGCACTCACTCTACAAACATAACCTATTACATGACATTTAATAGATAACCTATTACATGACATTTAATAGATATCCTATTACATGACATTTAATAGATAACCTATTACATGACATTTAATAGATAAGTTTTGTTGTAAACTTCAATAAATCTTAAACAGAAACGCTTCAAAATCAGTTGGTCAAATCAAAAAACATTTTTATTAGTGCAAAAAAACAATTATAATAATGCATGGGTTCTTGAAGCACTTATAAAAACCCTTTTTCCAATAAGGTTTTAGAGATATTCAAGTGACATTAAATAAGGTTTTAGAGATATTCAAGTGACATATGAAATATTTAAAAATATGAAAAGATTTAAAATTTAGAATATCAAAAATATCAAAAATCAAACAATGTTAAATCACGTGGTTTGCATGTTTCGAATTCAGGCTACTTTTGACTGGGTATATTTTCTAATTCTAATAAAAATCAAAATAAAATAAATCAGTCAGAATAAAATAAATCAAATAATAAAATATAACAAAAAGTTTACTTTTCATAAATACAAAGATCAAAGGAGTCTTAAGGATGTTTAAAAAGTATCAATTTGATGCGTTAAAGAAAATCATAAATTTTAACAATGAATTGGTTGTATTATTGGAATTAAATGCATTTAAATAACGTTCTTTTGATAACACGGAGGTTCAAATTAGTTTTCTAGTTTTTAAATACTCCAGGGGCGGATCCAGCATTTTTTGGTCTTTAAGATAGCTAACTTACCGACATGGAGCAAACTCCAAACATTTATATGTTTATACTTATTTCAAATAAGGATGCTTTGCAAAAAATAAGCTCTAAAGTTTTTGACCCCCCCCTGGCTCAAACGTGAGAGCAACAAGTTGATAGAACGTTTATTGTACTATTTTCAACAAGACTTATATTCATCCATACATTTTAAGTTTCATAGTATAATCTCTCAGCGTTCAAAAATTATTATTAAAAATTATTATCAAAAATATAAAATTTGTAACCCCCTCAAATTGAGGGGGTTCAAACTTTATATGCTCATAATTTTTGAAAAAAACAAAAACCAAAAACTTCTGACAATTCGGAAAAATACTGTTACGAGTTCTTGCAATTTCAGCAAGAATATATTTATAATAAGTTATTGTTAATAGTGTCTGTAAAGAAACAACTCCAGAAATAAATCCTCCAGGGCGTTTTTGTGCGGTAATTTGTTTTTTAAGATATTTTTTGTATTGTTTTGAGCTAGATTTAAATTTATTAAACATTATCAAAAAATGTTTTATTTAAAAATGAATTAGTGAATAAGTTTTTTTTAATTCAAAACTTATTACAACAGAAAAATAATATTCTAACTTTTTGAAAAATATATATTTGCATAAACTTAAGTTTAAACGTAGCAGTAGTTCTATTTCACTAAGGCTGACTAACTAAGGCTTTGTTGTTAGGTTAATAGCGTTGAGGCCTAATAGTTTTGACTCTAAAGTTGTATTAAACTGTCAATATCAAAATAATTAAATGCATATGGTTCTGAATTTTTTTTTAAAAATGTGTTTAAAAAGTTAAGCAAGTTCGATAAAATTTACCGGAGATGAATAATAGAGATAATGGTTTAATGTAATTAAAACAGGATATTTACGAATAAAAATACTTAAAAACAATCGGTTTGCACGTATGGTGAAATATACGGGAGATGATTAAAGGATATTCGTAAATTAGGAATTTAAAAAATGAAAAATGTAAAACATTCTTTTTAGGCTATTTTTTTTAAACAGACGTTTACAACACTCAGGCTATTGTCCAATTAAAATTCTTTCTTTTGCTAGCTTAGATTCACAACATAATCTTTAATTTTTTTATTATGTGAAATTGAAATCTTTTTGGCCACAAACAGTAAAAAACATGTTTTTGGTGCAACTACAAATAATTTGTTTATCCTAATTGCTATCCTAACTATTATTAATTGCTTATTATTTTGATTATTTTATTTTGCAATAACATGTTAAAAACCCAATATCAAACAACAAAGAAAAATTTGATGATAAAACAAGTATGAAAAGTTCAAAGACTATGACTTTAGTGCATTGAGCTCTAAATAATATATATACATATATATATATATATATATATATATATATATATATATATATATATATATATATATATATATATATATATATATATATATATATATATATATATATATATATATACTAGTAATAATAACTAATATTGTGACAAAGACATTATTTACATACAAGATTTTCTGGCTAATACTTTAAAATATGTAATAAATGTTAGAAGTAAACATACGTACGACTGTTTGCTTGTTTTATTTTTTGTTTGCTTACTTTGAATTTACGAAATATTTTTTGAGTTTTTTAAAGAAATGCTTCCTTCGTTGAAGTATGTTTGCATTTTTAGTTGAATTACTTAAAAGTAAATAGAAGATGTTTGTTATTGGAAATTTAACTTTTCAAAGTCTATATATTGTTTTATAGGTAAAAAAGGCGTTTTTTATATGAGTATTCTACTCGTTGTTTAATTAAATAAACACAATGATTGTAATTTTATTTCAAAACATAATTTGCGATTAGTTCACATGTAGATTCGACGTCGATTTAGTGAGTTGTAACTTAAGGTAAAATAGTAGTCGAGTCATTCAATAACCATTGAAAATAAATAATGAACTATTTTTTCAGTGAAAAAAGTTAGATTTTTTTTTAAATGTAAAATTTTCTTTATTTACAGAATCTCGCAAGAAATGGTTGATAAAACAATTCCATCTGATATAGACCGTCCTGACATAAGGCGTTTCCAAGGAAACCAGGTACTCTTATAGGTACTCATATTGTTACTAATCAAATTCCGGCTTCTTTTTTAGTAGACTACTCACTAAACTTTCTAACAACTTCCAGTTTTTTTATTTTTCCTTGTTTTTTTTTTTTTTTGAACATAAAAGAAACCATAAATTAATCGTTGTTTTTGTCTAAACATAAGGACTTTTTTTAAATTATTTGTAATGCGTTACTTTTATATAACTATAGTTTTTTAAATAGTGGAAATGATATTTAATAAAAAATCAATATTTAAAATAACAATTAAATTCTTTGTGAGTTTTAAAGTTAAAGTAACTAATTAAAACATTAAATTAAAAAATAAGTTGAGAGATCATTATAATCTTAATTACAAATGTAAAATGTGAAAATCACAAAAATAAAGATATTATAAAGATAGAAAATATCAAACAAACAAACAAAAAAAAAACAAAGAAGATATTTATAATGAGTTAATGTAAATAAATATAAAATTAGTTTGAATCTAAATTCGTAAATTTTCTCCCAAATTGTGAACTTTAGATAAATAATTTTAAACTGTTTAATAATTATATTTTTAGAATACTTTAAAATTTTAGTATATTTTATAATAAAGAAGAAATGTTTGGTCACACTTTCGTTTATTATTTTATTTAAACTGTTTAAAAAACAAGTTATTAATGATTGCCAGTATTTTTCTCCAGTGTAATCTTTTCTTTGTTCCTTTTTGTATTTACATAATCAAAAAAATGATTATTTGGTAAACAAACAATATTATTGTTTGCATCGTTATGAATTTTTAACAAAATTGGCAAGCGCTGCAGAATTATTTTTTTTTAAGAAGCTTAAAAATACGGATATTAAGTTGTTTGCAGACTATTTTAATTACAAACATTTGTTGGTTAGTTACCAGTCACGTTAATTTACCTGATACTAGACGTGTAATACATTGCTTTTCATAAATTCATTTTTGCCGCAAAGTATTAAATTTCACAAAGGCCTATTTTCAATTTCAAAAATTTGTTTTAAGATTTGCAAGTCTAAAAGTATAAAATATAAATAGTGTGAATTTTACGTTAAATATATTTCAGTGAAAACAAATTTTTTTTTTTAATATTAGTATTAAAACAACATGTTCATTATTTTTTAAATCATAAATTAAAATTAAGATTGATTTATAAATAAAATTGAAAAATAAATAAAAAATTGCAAACTTCTTTTACTTATCAAATTTACATCAAGTAAGCATTAAATAGGAAAACTGTTGAAAAAGATGTTGCAGTAAAACACGGTGTTGCAATAAGGTATGCGGTGTCCTTATAAAAAATTTTATCATTTACAGTGCTTGCGTTAGAGAAAACTGGTTGAAACATTTTTCCTGTGAACAAATCCTGACTTGAATATAGTGTTTAAATATCGAATTCATTTTTAACCTAATCTATCGCAATATTATTGTAAGAAAATGAGTATAAATGGTTTAAATAAATTTAAATAAATCGGGTCTCAATTTTACAAAAACCGCAAAACCTAGGTTTGTTCACTGGAAAAATGTACTGACCGAGAAAGGTTTGTTCACTGGAAAAAAGTACTGACCGAGAAAAACAATAAAAACAATAAGCAGAAAATTATTGAGGAATTTTTAAAATTTTCACTCCAAAAGAATTAACCTCCTGAAGAATAAGTTATGTTTTAAAAAATTTTAATGTTTTCAAAAAGGTTTCATAAATATTTTAAGAGAAACATTTTTATGTTTTTGTTTCATTTAAAAGACACGATTAAAAACTTATTTTTGAAAAAAAAAAAAAAGAAAGAAAAGAAAAGCTTTGATACTTGTAATGAACTAGTTGTGTTTTGTAATTTTGTAATAAGTAAACTTAAATAGCTCAAAATTATTATGAGAATCTTCAGCTGGTAGGAAAAACAAAATATTTATTGCTTGTTTATCAAAACGTTCTCATTTCTTTCTTTTTATATATTTTATGCGCTGTCTTGTTGTCATCTTAACTAACCCGACATTAAACAATAGGCATTATTACTTCGCTCCCACCTCTAACTGTTATAAAGTATACTCAGAATGTGTAAATATTTTTTGCAACTTCTTTTTTTTGGGAGGATCACAACTATCTAATGCTAAATAAGATTAAACTTTTTTTTTTAAAGTTTATTCAAATATCAGTACGTCACGCCCGAACTCACATCGACGAAGGAAAAGCACAATTTACAGACTATGAAGTTGAGATTCGGGTAATTTTTTAAAATAATTTTGTAACAAATATATATATATATATATATATATATATATATATATATATATATATATATATATATATATATATATATATATATATATATATATATATATATATATATATATATATATATATATATATATATATATATATATATATATATATATATATATATATATATATATATATATATATATATATATATATATATATATATAAGCTTCCAATATTTGTTGAAAAATTTTATTTTTGAAGTAGTTGTTGTTTTTTTTTATGTTTTTCAAATATTTGTTTGTGTAATTTCCAGTATTATCTTTTACTTGTTTATTTCGTAATATCTTGCACTTTATATTTTACATTATGTTTTATAATACATTGCATAATTTTTTTAAATGTATTCAATTTTATATTTATTTCTTTTATAAATGATTTTGTTATCATACAAAGAAAAAAATAAAACAACTATAAAATAGAAACTATTTATTTATAGACCAATCACATTGCGTTCACAATAAAATATTCAAAAGTCCGTAGACGGTACTCTGACTTTGTTTGGCTTCGCAGCAGACTCATTAAAGATACACAAACGTATGAAAGTTACAAGAATAAGAATTCATCTTAAAATATTTTTACATTATGATAATACTTTTTCACATTTCTCAGAAAATATAACGAGTTATAAAAAACATAACAAAAGTTTATTTAAAAGGTATATTCTATTTAATTTTTTAGCGAAGCACCAAGATTGCCCGGAAAAAGATTATTTGGCAGATTTCATAAAGATTTTATCAAACAACGCCAAAAACAATTAAAAGACTTTATTTTTGGGTACGAAATATTTTTATTTTACGTGTTTTATTTATTTTTGTTATTAATTTAGGTTTTAAATTTTGAGGCTTATTTAATCTCCAGAGAAGGCATCTTAACTTATTTACATGGAGTGACATGCGTTATGGTTTTAAAGGAAGTCAAGTGTTTTTGTTTCAAATTTTTGACGGCGTATTAGACTAAAAACAGTTGGAAAATTATCTGTAAACCATAATGCGAAAATCATTGATTTGAGTCATTTTATTTGAAACAACAAAACCCCCCTCCCCACCCTCATTACAAAATAGATTAAAATATAATATAAAAGTGATTCTTTTTTTTAATAAAACTATTTCTTTAATAGGTTATGAAATAAAAAAAACCTTATTGAACAATTATAAATAAAATATATATTACCCCTCAATTTAACACCTCATTACATATACACCACCTCAGTTACACATACACCATCTTAGTTTCATACATACCATCTCAGCTTTTGAACATTTAAAAAAGTTATTTATAATTGTTCAATGTTTTGTTGCAATTATGAGAATTTTTTAACTTTGTTGCATTTAAATGACTTGAACGTGCGTGGCAATATTAATTTTTATATTAATTTAGAGTTTAAATTTTAAACTAAATGTGTAAAAAAGTTAACTTTTAAATATATTAGATTGGTTGAAAATGCAAGCTATCTTTCGCATCCAGGCTTTCATCTTTTCTTCCAAAGTAGCCTATCTGTCGACGATATTGAAGAATTTCTTGATAACAATAAAGACGGCGATGCTTCCGAAGAAATTCTAGCCGAATCCGAATGCAGAGACCGTCTTAATGGTGTTTTGTTACGCGAAAGAGCTGCCAAACATGATAGTGGATTTTCAGGGGAAGAACCTGATTGGCTAAATGATAACTTTGAAAATAATACTAATGACCAAATACTAAACTTAAAAATAGTTGATGATGATATTTGTAATGATGATCATTTTGCTGATGACGAAAGTGATGACAACGATGACGATAGTATTGAGCCAATTGATAAAAACGATATTATATTGAATCAGTTGAGGTTAAACACGCTTCCAGCACCTATACCAACTGATGATGAAAAAGGTTTTGAAAGCTCTGTTGAATATTTATATTGTAGCTCCTTGGACTCCGGTAATACAAAAAAAACAAAAGTCACAAGCGTTGCACGTGACCGCTCACAGACCACACCGCGTAAAAAACGAGTTAAAAAAATGTCTTTTAGAGAACGAATGGCTAATTCAAATCCTTCCTTAACGGAATCTCAACAACAAGATAGAAACAGTGACACGGCAACATCCTCAAACCATGCTTTGACACAATCTCAATCGTTTTACGAAGATTGTTCAGATAACGTTTTTATGCTTAGTCAAAAATCGCCACTAAGCAGTCCTAGTAAAACGAGAAAATCTTCATCTCTTAAATTTCCAAAGCAGAACACTCCACTGAGACGATCGTGCACTTTTTTATCTTCCACTGAAAAGACACCAGTGAAAAGAAAGATCAGCTTAAACGAATACATAATTGTTCATAGTGACACTGTCAGGGAAGTAAACAAACAACAGTCGCTATAATTATTATGAAACTAAAATACTTTTAAACTTATAAATTATTTCTTTGCAGCAATTTGCTTTTAAACATATTTATAAAACAAATTTGCTGTACGCTTCTTAAATATTTCATTTGTAGAAAAAAAGGTTTCATTTGTAAATATTTCAATTTTTTTTTTTTTACAAAAAAAAAAAAAAAAAAAAAAAATGATTTCGGTTATTTCAGTTTTCAGTTATAAATTATTCATTAAATTTTTTATTTAGTATTTGTACTAGTTTTTAAACTTTTAATATATTTTTTTTAACGCAGAAAAGTTTTCGATAGCAACATGCATTTGCATATACTTGTATTTCGTAACTATGATATAAAATAATTGATGACATATTTTTTTAAAATTGTTTTAACCTGTTCGAATTATTTCCGAAAAAAAAAAAACACAAAAGTATTTTCAAAGTTCTATAAGAATTTACAAATTAAAAAAAAAAAAAAAAGATTTACATTTAAAAAATGTGTTTACTTATTTAATGTTAACCAATTTTTAAGCTCTGGCCAGACTAGTAGATGTTCAAATAAAAATGTTTTTTATTTTCAATAAAAAAAAATTGTCAAAAAAAAAAAAATTCTGTTCTTATTAAAAAAACTAGATAGGAGCTTAAAAATTGGTTAACATTAAATAAGTACGTAAATTATTACAATTTTTAAGTATTTATTAAAGTGCAAAAATTGTAAAGTCTCTACAATTTTTTGCACTGTAATAAATGCAAGTTTTTCATAAAAAATAATTAATTATTTTAAAAAGAGTTGTTATAAATAATTAATTAGAATGGATATCATCAAAACCTTGTTGCTTTGTTTTTACATACAAATAATTTTTATCAACTTATTTATACAATATAAATGTTTTTTTGACATTATGTTGCGAAATGATATTAGGCGGTGTTAAAAAACCGACTTTTTTATGTATTATTATTTTTCATAATATTGATATCATTAAAACACAATTTAGCGTCGCGCAATATTTATATCTGTATTCCAAACTTAGCAATTTTACAATAAACACAAAATGATTTGTTTTTATGTCCATAAAATATAAAAGTTAAAGTTTCTATCTAGTTTTTTTTCCTAATAAGAACTTATAGCCTTGTTGAAAAATTTTTCGTTAAAAACAAGAGACATGTTTATTTGAATTTTTATTAAATTTAACTATATTAATTTTTATGTTTATTTGAATCAAAAGTTTGTGCCATTATATTTTGAAGTGTAAAAAAAAAAAAAAGGAGCAAATGGATAAGGTAATATGTGTAAAAATAGTATATTTAACAAAACAAAATAACTAATTGTGTTTTAATGAGACTTATATATGTAAGAAGTAAATGAATATTTACTTCTTACATATACACGCTAATTATGCCACTTTCTGTTGTAGTCATTTTAATGTGATTCAAAAAACAAAAAAACCTTTTAAGCTTCATTGAATCCTTACCGACGAATGCTTACCGAAAAATGCTTACCGATACTTTTTATTGTATTTTATTATATGAGCTTTGCTTATATTAACCCTATTTAACCCATCTGCCATTGTTCCCAAGGGCGGATCCATATAGAGGGGTGATGGGGTGTTCGCCCTCCCCATAGAATGTTTTGAAATTTTTTGTTTTTGTAAGTTTATATATTAAACACAGAAAGTTGTTTGAAAACGGAAATAATATAGTTAGGTTGTCTAAATAGAATTACAACTTTATTCAAAATTGCGTGATTGCTTGCTTACAAATCATTATATCTGAAACTCGCCTTCCCCCCCCCCCCACCAACTTACTAGATGGACTGCAACCCCCAAATCGAAAAAAAATTTAAAATCGCCCCCTTGCAACTTGGTCTGGATCCACACTTGATTGTTTCCAGTAGTAGCTCTATCTGCAGTATTTATTTGTATTTTATGGTGACCGAGCAGTAAAATTCTGCAGGTCGGCCAGGTCGCCGATTGGATAAATTCGATCATGGTCGACCATTAGAACACAATTATAAGGACAAACTATTTAATTATTATAGGATTATTAAGAATTATTTAATTAAGAATTATACAATATTAGGATTATTAAGGATTATACAACTATAGGGACAAACTATATAATTATTATTCATTATACCTACTTATATTTGTTTTCTTTTCCAGGAACTTGTATCATTGTATATATATATATATATATATATATATATATATATATATATATATATATATATATATATATATATATATATATATATATATATATATATATATATATATATATATATATATATATATATATATATATATATATATATGTATATATATATATATATATATATATATATATATATATATATATATATATATATATATATATAGGCGCGGACTGGGGCTTCAAATCCTACCGGGAAGAAAAGAGGGAGGGGCGCTACAAGGTTGGATAGGGGTAAAAAATAGGCTAGTGTTTATATAAAGGTCTTTTTAATTTGAATATGAATAGGTAGAACAATGTTACACTTTCAAAGTTCAAAGTTCATTCAGGCTTACAATATAATTTAGTATGTCATTTTACTTAAGTATGAAATATACATGATAATTATGTAGACAATGATAATAATAATAACAATAATAGCAATAATAGCAATAATAACAATAATAATAATAATAATAACAATAATGATAACACGAAGAATTTATTATGATAAATGAATAATAAATCAAACTTAAAAAAAATTATGTAATAGATTATTACAGGCCGCCGAGGTTCTGAAATACAAAACAAAAGAATTCAAATTAGGAGCCCCAGGATTCTTGATTCAGCACTTTTTTTTTTTTTGCATCCTTGCATACTGGTGTCAGAGGTTTTTTGATTATATCACTGTAAATAAAGGTTGTGAAAAAAACCCCTATAAACTCATATAAAGGGAGTACTACTTACAATAAATAAACTCATATAAAGGTATATATACATAATATAAGTTATATATATATATAACATATATATATATATAAGTTAAATATATATATATATAAAATATAACATATATATATATATATATATATATATATATATATATATATATATATATATATATATATATATTATATATATATATATAACTTGATATGTGATATATATGATACTTGATATATATATATATATGTTATATATATATATAACTTTTTAAATCATTTAAAATAAAATAAAAATAAAAAATTTGCTTTATCCGGTATTTACACTGTAAAAAATGAATTTTTATTTTAAGAAAAAAAAAACTTGTTTAAAGGAATTTTTCACTTAAAACAAGCAAATTTTTACCTGTCAGTATGGTAAGCAATTTTTTTCTTAAAAAAAGTATATTTTTACTTAAAATAAGATTTCATTTTAAAATGAATTCTTATTTTAAGTAAAAAAGATCTTGTTTTAAGCAATTTTTTATTTAAAAGAAGCAAATTTTTACTTGTCAGTATGGTAAGCAATTTTTTTCTTAAAATAAGAATTCATTTTTTGCAGTGTATACTGTAACTGACTACAATCTCCTAGTTTTGACAATTTTTAATTTACTAAATGCCCGTTCACAGCTCACTTGTGAGAATGAAAGTGATAATAGATATTCGTAAGTCAGAAACAGATTTGAATAAGCAGTTGCATTCAACGAACATTTGTATAGAATACTATAGCAACATTTTAAACATTTTTTACAAAACCCTACACAACGCTTAAAGTTATTAAAATCTCTATCATTCTCATTTTCAGTTGCTTTTGTTGAAGTATCCAACTCTGAGGCTGAATTCGATTCTTCTGAATCTTCGTCACTAGGACTCACTGTAAATTCATCTTGTAGTGTTTTTGAGAGCCTATCAAAGTTTATAGCAAAGCTATGAAATTCAGATCTCAATCTTTCAGAACAAAGTTTAGTTAGTTGAGAAATATTTGCAAGACTGTTTTCTGGAATACCAATTTCAACAATTTCTTTAAAACGTCTAGGATCTAAACACGCAGTGTCTCTAATACTGAGAAACGTTCATCTATGCTAGTGATAATCTGATGAATCATTCTACAGAAAACATCCATTCTGAAACGATCAAGGGGATTCTCTGGTATTTCATCAAAGACGAGTTCCCCTGCCATACGTTTCTTTTGATGAACTCGTTCTACATGCAATTCTGTTTCAACATCTGAATCAAGTTTACTAGCATCTAGAAGGGTGTTGATTTCTTTAACAAATGCAATTCTCTTAGAATGGACATCTTCAAACGATATTGTCTGCAGTTCTTGTTTTGCTGACTCTACCATATTCCAAGCACTTATTTAATCCAGACTATTGTTATTTCTATATACACATTATATACTTTCTTCGGTAACAACTGTATCAAGTTCTGACGTACAGTCTGTTACAGTTTTTACGGGCAATTTGCTAATGGTAAAATCTGATTGCTTATTTTGTTGAGGACTGGAGGACACTGTATTTGACACGGTACTTGCTTCAATGATTAAGTTAGGCGTTATATTTCGCAAAAAAGCTTTTTTCTTAATTAACACTGGGTTTGACGCGGGAGCAGATGCTTCTTCAACAACATTGATAATATGTTCATTATTAAATAACAGCTTGCGTTGTTTAGGATCACGGCCTGTTTGAAGCAAATCACGCTTCTTCTTTTCTTGTCTTCTTTTGGCACCGCTAGACTTTCTCCTAGACTTACAGAATGATGAGTTCTTTTGGGTCTAGTTTAAACTATCATTTAGTAAAGTAAACAGCATGAGAAAAACTAATTCACGTGATTATTTGTTAAAGTCAAAAAATATTTATCTGTCCTCCCCAAAAATATTTCTAAATTCGCCCCTGATATAAATGATACTTCAATTGTATTGTGAGAAAGTGAAGGATCATGAACTTGCACTTGAAGCAGTAACACTAAATGGTTTTATAGTTATTAATTATATGTTACATGTGGTATTATGGAGATGTACAACCTATGATTTGGAAGGGAGGGGGTGCCAAGGATGGTGGGGCGCACCGGGAAATTTCCCGGTTTCCCGGTGGGCCAGTCCGCGCCTATATATATATATATATATATATATATATATATATATATATATATATATATATATATATATATATATATATATATGTTCGTTGTAGGTTACGTTTAATTAAGTCTATATATGCTTTATTTACAAAAATGCCGCCAAAGAAACGTGGTACTATACTAAAACATACAGAGAGTCAAATGAAACTAGGTATTGAAGCGTGTAGAAATAATGGAATGAAATTTAGAAAAGCTTCCAATTATTTTAATGAACCAAGGTCTACGTCACTAATGGACAAATACCATAAACAAATACCTGTAGCAAGGAAAACGGGATCTAACCCTTTCTTAGGA